GCGTAAACTTGGGGGTAGGGGGGTAAACTGGAGGGGGTAAACTGGAGGGGGTAAACTGGAGGGGGTATACTGGATGGGGGGGGTAAACTGGGGAGTAAAATGGGAGCGGGAGCAAACAAGGAGGGTAAACGGGGGGAGACCAACTGGGTGGTGGGAGATCAACTGGGGCAGGAGGGGGGTTATCTGGAAACTGGGGGTGTCAATCATTAACCCCCCTCCCCCAAAATCTCCACTAAAAAATCACTCATGTTTAACAATAAGGGTGGGGCGAATGGCGCTTGTGGTAAACTGTCTAAGATGGTGGTAAAGTAAAGGGGGTAAAGTAAAGGCTGGGTGTATTTTGAGATGAGTTGAAAAAGAAGAGAAAAGAAAAAATTTTAATTTTTTTTTGTGAAATGTAACATTTTATGAAAAGTAATAATTAGCAACTGCAGTACACAGGAAATGAGATAACTTTGAAAAACACATAGGTGAACAACAAAAAATCTATGCATTGAATTATGTCACAGAATTTGGTAACTTTTTTCCTGCCTACTATACAAAACCAAACTTGTTGGTTGTCAAAACATTTCACCATCAATATGCATCTGCTGATCCATTATTTTTGACAAGTAAATCGATTGTTTTTGCCAAAATAATCCAAAATAATTGAGTATTTTTGAAATAAAAATCAATTATAATCGATTTGAACCCATTTTTTTCGAAACTAAATTCAATTGTTTTGCAATAATTTAACCTGGGTGGGGTTGTGAACTTGAGGAGGGGGTTAAACTGGGAGGGGGCACACAATGGGCACACAACCATGTTCTCTGAAAAAAAAAACGAAAAACATCTTTTTTATACTAATTTCATTTCATTTTTTTGTGCGTGGAGTGATGATAGGATTTTATCCAAATAGTAGCTTTCAGCAAATCTAATATTCACAGTAAAAAACCAATATGGACATGAAATGACATTTGGAAAAACCTTTATTTTAAAAATGACATCTGAAAAAAATAACAAAAAAAATTCATTTCTTTTAAGCAGAAATTTTTTAGAGTTTCGAAGTGTTTCTTCACAAGATGGCGCTAAACAACTTTAAAAATTAATTTTAATCATAATACTCCATTAGAAACCATTATTTTTGGCAATTCAATTATTTAGTTTTGCCAAGATGATCCAATTAAATTCGATTGTTTTGCAATAATTTAAACTGGGAGGGTTGTAAACTGGAGGGGGGGGGGGGGTAAAATGGAGGGTATAGTGAGCAAAGTCTGTTGGCAAATTGAAATCATCAGTAAGCCTTTTTCTCTATATTTTCACCTAGTCAATTGGTCAAATCAAAGTTGTATCGTCCAATCAAAAAAGGCGGTCAGTTACTAGGCAACTGGGTGGTGGGAGGTCAACTGAGTCAGGGAGGGGGGAGGGGGGGGGGGGGGTATCTGGAAACTGGGGGTGTCAATCATTAATCCCCCTCCCCCAAAATCTACCACTAAAAAAATCCCTCATGTTCTACTATAAGGGTGGGGAGAATGGCGCTTGTGGTAAAATGTCAGGGAGGGTGGTAAAGTAAAGGATATAAAGTAAAGACTGGGTGTATTTTGAGATGAGTTGAAAAAATAGAAAAAAGTAAATATATAATTAACTTTTTTTGTGAAATGTAACATCTTATGAAACGTAATAAGTAGCAACTGCAGTAAACAGGAAATGAGATAATTTTGGAAAAAGTTGTCATTTTCTTGAATAATCTTTCGAAAAATCTAATTTTTTTGATTATAAACGATTATAATGGATTAAATTGGCGTTAAAATATAAGAATTATAATCCATTTTAATGGATTATGATCGATTATAATGGATTACATTGACAAAAAAAATTAGGATTATAAACCATTTTTAATGGAATATTGTCGATTATTTTGTAATTATATAGATACTGACCATATTTTGACAATATAATCGATTATGACCCATGGGCGCTCGGTGCGGGTTGATTCTTAAAATTTCAAAAGCGTTTCAATGAAGCTTTCTTTATGCAAGGAGGTTATTTGACGCAACCTGCGTGAGAACTTTTTCATGGTGGAACCGCTCATACACGAAAGACCGAATGCGCTAAAAGAAAAATCAGCCAATTAGATTTCAGTAATCTAAAATATGAAAAGAAAGCGCGAACATCTGAAACAAAGTAAACACTTCCAGGAACTTAATATTGATATGGGCCGAATATGAAAACGGCAGAAATATGCAAAGTTTTCAAATTGTGACTGACCCTCGATAAATTGGATCAAAAATTTTATTTGAAGGTTTTCGTTATGAAAGAAGCAAAATATGGCTTCGTTTAATTCATTTTATTTGAATGACAATTTATTCTTTTTAAAAACTGACTTTCGGCTTTTTTTTGTTTTCTACGCTATGTCTACGCTATGTTTTCCAATTTCAACTGGGAGGATCACACTTGACACTCGAAACGGAGTTTGAATTAAACTTGATAAATAGGGTTGGAAACTGAAAACTATTAATAAGTTACCGAAGCACGAAAAACATACAGCACTAAAATGTTCACTTCAAAACAATCGATGCTTAAGTATTACCAATAACTTACACGTTGTCAGTGGAACTATGATAGAAAGATATAACTTATACATTGTCAGTGGAAATATTCTTGTAATTGTGATAGACAAATTTCTCATACAGTTTTTCCGAATTGAGAAAACTGAATCAATAGGTTAACTTTTTAATCCGTTGCGAAATCTGAATTTTGAAAACCATTTTCAAAACAGAGGCGAAGTTGAACTTCGCATACACAAGCAAACGTTTGACCGATAACGCTACTGGGAAAAACTGAATGAGTAAAGTATTTAGTCTTTAAAATTTCTTAAGTGACGCACGCCAATTATGACCCATTAGCAGTAACAGTCAATTTGAAAAAAACTAAATTTACCAACTAACACCTCTAATATTATTTCTAATATTATCGCAGTCTATGGCGTAGCAGTCTATAGTAATAATCGTAGCAGTCTATAGTATAGCAGTCTATAGTAATAACATGAGAAAATTAACTGTAATGAAAATAAAACGAAATTTTTTTTAATTCGAGATTTTTTGTGAAAATCATACCCCCACACGCCATATCAAGTACAAAGTGATGCATTTCGTTCCTAGTAACAAATCAATTATGGCAAATAGGCTTCCTTTAATCAATTTGAAACGATTTCTAAGACAGATTAAATCACCGCTTACGCTTTTACAGCGCGAAATATATCGCGCAATAACTTTCCCGAATTGACCAGAATGGCAATTTTTAAACCCCCATAACTTTATGAAAAATCTCAGGTGAAATATCTTTCCAACTTCAAGCTCAGGAAAACAATACTCTTTGAATGATATAAGAAAATCCCGTCAAAAATGGCTAGTTAAGAAGTCGAAATTTGTCTGAAGAAAAAAAACCACACCGAGCACAACTATTCCGTTACTTTCGTTCGAAAAGTCGGAACAATAATAGTCGGAACCTTAGCATTGGCTGTACTTAATAGCTGGTTTTTGATCAAAATGAGCACTGTCAAAATGAACACATTTTATCGCAATAATATCTGCGTCGCATAAATATTTGCGACTTAGGTTGGAAAAAAAGATAGCTCATACTATAACACAAGCATTGCTTGTGTAAACACAGATGGCGATCAATTTTTTTGTGATATAAATATATATATATATTGCTGTTCGATAGTGGAGTTTCATTTCCTTTTAATCAAGAAAATGAGCTGAACTTAAAATAAATCAAAAGTCACAAAGCCAAAAAAACTGAAACAAAAGCGATCATAGCCATCTATGGCAGATTGTCGTTGAATATCTTTTAATTCGCAAAATTAGGCAAAAAATAGAGTCGGACGTCTCTGAGAAAACGCAATCATGTTCATTGAAAATTTGACAGTATGATGCAGTTTTGACGCCCTTTCACCGTCTCAAGATCAGAAAATTTTCCGAAATTTGGCACAAACTCTTACCACTTTCATAGTTTTTACCAAACTTTTCGGAAGTCTTAAAATTTTGAAATCATTTTGACCTTCAAGTTCAAATTAAAAATTACAGAAAACAACGCTAATCTGAAAAAACTTTGTTTTAAAATTTGCTTAGACCATTCTGTGCTACTTATACAGCAATCGGCATCCTTGTTTATTATTAGTTTTAGCAAATAACTGCTGATGCAGAACCCACTGGCAAAGCAATTCAAGTTAAATTTTAAAACTAGTATTTGGAATCCACTGTCTTTTTAGCACAAAATTACGTCACTCATTTTTAGCACACGTTCAACATAAAGTTTTGAACTTTTTTTTTGCTAATGAATGCCACTTTGATTTTATTAAATCTTTGGCTGATTTTTATCAAGTTTTTTGCCGTCCGATACAACGCGTCCTTCAAGTAACCCTTTTGGCAAAAATTTGACTGATTAACCATAAACGTTTTCTAAGGGTGCCATTGTCTGCTAATTTTGAGGGGTAGTCTGCCAAAAACTTCATAATGGGCATTTTCTTCCGAAGCAAGTTGCCAATACACTCATTCTTTGGATTCTAGAGTTGACAAACGGCTGTTTTCGAAACAAAAATTGATAGTCATTAATACCGGCTTAAGTTGACAGTCAGGATTTTTAAATTAAACGAATTACTTTAAAAATGATTCTCGGAATTATATTTGGACAATTTTGCAAACAACATCCGTGGAAAATGAATTCGAGTTCTACTGCTTTTACAAAATTTGAAAATTATGAAATAAATTACAATTGAATCAAATCAGGAGAACTGAACAAATCGGATCAAATACCATTATTGGAACGAGAAACCGCATGTGAAAGTGCAAAAGAGTTATTTTCTTATTTCAATCGATCTGTATCCAGATAAGCATTAAATTTTGTAATTAATAAACTTAACAGAAACTTTTATTAAACTTTTGAATGCAAATTTAAGTATAAGTTATTTCTGGTAAAAATTGTTTCTGAGGTTACGAGAACAAATTTTTTTTGAGAAAAAACTAGCTTGAAAATGAGAAAAAGTTAAGCTCCGTGTAGCAATCTGTTGTTTTGTTCAGTGTTAAAATTTATCGGCTCAAATAAAGCAATCATTCGATATTATGCATTCCATCTTTGCCTAATTTCATATACGTGACCCAGTAAAAAATATTGAGGATAAAAAACGAAGTTGGAAACCAGATTCTGGAATAGTAGTCTATTTTGGCAACATCAACTGAGGTCATGAACCAATTCACGAAGTTCGAATCTTTGTAACGCTCAAGTCGTCGCAACGTTCGACGACTTAGTCTCCTCTTTCCGTCCGGACCGAAATCCGCCTCAGTTGCCGAACTTCCGGAAAGACCTGAATGGTGACTTTGGGATCCGGAACGACGACGACTTGAACGACGTCGCGTGGAACTCCCTCGTCTGAAGTAACTCGAGTGACCCAGGTCTGATTCGGAGCTATTAGACATGGGGGTGACGGCACTGCTGCTGTTAAAGCCGCCCCCGTTGTCGCTGCAGAAGTCGTCTTCTTCTAAGCAGCTCTCGCTTTCCATGAAGTTGGGAGTCGGCAGCAGGTTGTTCTTGTTCCAGACTTGTTCGGCTTCAGAGGAGCTGCAATCTGTTGTCGTGTAAGAGCACGGCTGAAAAAACCTAAACTGCGAGCTGGGAAAAAATTGCAACCCGTTTACTGCATGTTCCTTAATTGCGATTAACTTGATGTATCAAAATCCTGCATATGTAGAAAAACCTGCATATGTCAAATGTTAACCGGAAAGATTGCACTCCTACACGATGTTAAAAACAAAGATTTTCATGAATTTCAAAAGAAAAAACTAACATACGAGCTGTTCAGCTCCTTACGTCGAACAGCTGTCGTTTTCGTCGATTTGGACTAGCGTTTTTGTTTCCGGAAAAAAAAATAACTGAGAACTTACATTGAAGTGAATTGAGTGATCGAAATGAACTGGTTTCAACTGCAGTTCTATGCCACTATAGGGTACCATCAGGTTGTTCTCCTGCATCGCAGGTGGGGGCACAATCGGGTACCGGTGGGGGGACGCATTGTCTCTCCAATTGGAAATGGGGTGGCGCCCGGGACGGTGTTGCGGAGGCATAAATTTCACCGTCCCCAACGACGATCTAGTTCTCGTAGGAGGAACAGACGAAGACTGTCGAAGCAGCATGGTGGTATGAACGGAACTAGGATCCCCACTTATCGAAACCGTTTTTCTGGCAACATTGTTTGTAGTAGCGACAGTACGCGTATGTGACCGGCCGTTGCTTCGACCGACAAATGAGGTTTCTTTAATTTGGACTTCATCTTCACTTGAAGAATCGGGATTAATTACTATCGATTTCTGAAGAAATTTCATGCGTTGTCTTCGTTCGAGCCATTTTCGTTTCTGCTTGTTAAGAAAATGGACTGTTATGAACTCCACAAGAGCGGCGAGAACGTACACGAAAGATACGAAGAAGTAGACGTCGACTGCATTTAGGTTGTCTACATTAGGAAGCACAGTTTTACTTGTGTTCATAACCAGAATCATGGACAGGACTCCAGTGACTCCGATATAGGCACGTGACGTGGCCACTTCGGCCACTGTGGCTCTTCCCCGGTCGGGTATGATCCAAAAGGACACCCAGGAGAGCACGACTATGATGATGGCAGGAATGTAGCTCTGCACCAGAAAGTACATCAGGTCACGTGTGAACGTGAACTCCAAGGCACAGCCCTCGTAGGAACCTGAAAAAAGTTATTAAAAACCTCAATATATATTTTTTCAATACTCAAAATGTTCAGTTTCATTTTAAGCTAGAATTGCAATATATTTTGTAGTCGCAACCTTATTATCTAGGCAGCAACTGGTTTTCAACCTACATCATGGTAATATGATGAAGTTTATGCTCTTTGACTTTTCAACAGACTATAAATGCTTCTGTTTTCAATCAGTCCACATTTTAATAAAAGTATATCACATCAATCTAGGTTCGAAAAATCTGTCACGTTTACAAATCATTACATGAATTTTGTTGTTCAGGAAATGGAAGTTTATCAATTTTAATGGAATGCGATTTAAGCGATTGGCTACTCAAAAACAGCAACAGAAGTACCATTAAAATGCCTGCAAGAGCCATAAAATACTATAGCAAGATGGACAACAATTACATTTGAACAATTCGGTCGGTATCTCGACACGCTCATTTTGAACAGGTGAAGTTATCAATTAATCAAAAAGAGTATCATTCCGAAACGGAACATGAATACAACAAGCGATACAAAAACATGCTATTGTTCAAAAATTAAGATTGTCAATGATTCTGCACTTCAAAATGTTTAAAATTCTCCAATAAAAGATTTCAAGAGAAATTGCGACTTTCTGTCCAAAATACTTAAGGTTCATAAAAAGTATACAAAAAAACTTATGATCTAGAAAAAATTATTTGCCAAACTGAACAGCGACAAAAAGCTAAATCGTTTCAAGCAGAAGAAACAAAGAAAACTCTTATTAATTTTTTAAAAAATTTGACCGACAAAAATAAGCGTTGAAAATTAAAAAAATTCAGCAATTCACAGGGTTCGAACCATCTATTGAATATGAATCAATTTCTTTCGCAATTGCGTCATAATGCCCAGCTGTTATAAGTTGTTCACTCTCTAAGAAAAATTACCAGCTGATAATGAACTCTTACGCCACTCTTTTTCCTTAAAGCACTAAAGCATATAATTCTTGTGTTTCAATTCAAACAACAAAATATTAAATGACTAAGCCGTAAGGCACGTGCCGAAAACATTTTAGAGAAAAAAAATCATGTTTTTGCAGACAAAAATTTTGGATGACCATATATATAAGAAGATCTATAAGAATATATATATATATATATATTCATATCGAAAAAATACAAAGGTCCCTCTTAAGCTTACGATCCGAAACTAGGCGGTTTACCACTAGACCAAATGGCAAGGGGTTTAGAAAGTTTGAAGGTTTCAAAAAAACAAGGCCAATGTTTACAGATTTATTAGAAAATTTGCTTAATAGAAAAAAATGCGTCAAGTTTCCAGTAACAAATAAGTTTGCTCTCGCAGCTACAGTGCTAGATTATTACTGCAGAAACAATCAAATTTTAAACTTTATCAAAAATCAGATGCTCTGAATATGGTTTTATAGGTTGGGTGGAACATCGTATCAATCAACAGATTCCTAAGAAGGGACAATTTGTAATTTATGCAAAAGCGACTACTCATATCAAGCGAGAATAGACATGAATACTATAGTGCGTGTGAATCAGTTCTTGTCGGTTAGTATAATTTATGCAAAACACACAACCAAAAGTTACTAATTGTCACTTCGTACGCAAGATAAAATAACGAATCGTCGCGTGCGCCAAAAGTTACGAATTGTCGCCTGCGCCTGCCCACCATACGCCAAAAGTTAGTCTAATGGGAACAACGGGCATATTTATGAGTTCTTGAGATTAGAGAAAAACATAAAATTTTAGAATAAGTTAACATTCTCGCACCAAGCAAATTAGGTTCCAAGTTAGGTTCCAAGTTCTATTTTTAGCCAACCAGAGTCGAGTACTTGGCAATTTTAATCTAAGCACATGACAGCTGGTCTGTTTGTCGCGAAGGTGGGGGGTAGTTGTTGTAGGTGATAACTAGATCCCTGCTCTTGCCTGTGGAGAGGTTCCTGATGAGACTCTGAGGGACGACTGAGAGGAGTCTGAGTTCGGTGAGGGTGAAGTCGGAGGAGGGTTCCGGGAGGGTAACGTTGCTGAACACATCCCACCGCACTATGATCTCCGTCGACTGGTAGCCATCTAAAAAACAACAAGCAAATAAATTTCAACCCCCAAAAAAAAACAAATTCATAATGATATACACAAGGTCCATCTACAGATTATTCTACCATTCGTAATTTGGCCTGATTTTTTTTGGCCTGCAGCAGAATCTCTGACTGTACGTTTTCATATTGTGGATGGATGTTTTCCAAACTAATTAAGATACACCCGCAAATTTCGTAGGGGTTGAATGGGCTCTTTTGCACTACCATCCCCCAAATATCTGAATTTCAGTTTTGAAAAACTGTTTTTACGATGTCATTATGTAATAAAACTTGCATGGTGAACAATTTAACTATTGTGAACACATTTTTTCTTATTATATTACATTTTAACATCAAGCATTCAGCCATAATAACACGTAGGACAACTAAGAAATTGTCAAAACTGAAATGTACGGGGAGTGGAAAAAAGCATTCGAATGAAAACTATCACAAAAAAACTCTGATTAATTTTTTCCCAAAAATTAGCCCAATTAGGGAAAACTGGATCAATAAGTCTATTTTATATTTTGCTGCGAAATCTAAAAAACGACGTTCGAACTCAAAAATCATTCATATTTTTGTGTCATTTCCGCTTTTCTAATTAGCAAGGATAAAAAATTTTCTTCCTTTTAACAAAAAATTTGAATTGAACTTACAAAGAAATCAAAAGTCAAACTGCCGAAAATCAAATTTAAGACTACCCAAATTTTTTTTTCCGATAATCATCGTAAATGTCTTCACTATGTTTATAGAAAAATGAACAGTAACCGTTATTTTTTTTTCGAAGCAGAACCTCTTACGAAAATGGAGAAAAAATGCGACTGAAAAGAAAAGATTTTTTTTGAAAACGAACATATTTTAGACCCAATTTATCTGCCCGTAATTTTTTCAAAAACGTCCTTAAAAAAGGGACTTCGTTATTTTTTTCTAAATTTCTCAGAATTTTTTTGGTCTTTTCCAGATGAACTGTTCATGAAATCGAGGCGGGGCTATTTAGTATTTTCAATCGGTTCGGAGCAGAAAATGCAGTCAACGCTAAATACCTAATCTTTCATTTCATTAAATGGCTAGTATAATATCATAGTTGGCAGGCCAGAGAAAAACTGAGACTAATCCGCGCGCTTAATCCTTTCTTGTGCAGGCAATAAGCTTTTAGTTTATTGACAATTTGTAACATTTATTCAAATTGATACTTTATCTTTTAATCTACAAATGCACAATTTGACAGCTAAACAAACCAAAACCCCACCAAAAATTAGGCGACTGAGGGTAAAATTGGGGGAGATAAGTTCACCCAGAGATAAAAGTTTTGTTCGACAAGCCTCGAGGACCTTATGGATTGATACATATTTGATTCATATTACATCAAATCAGTGGATATGGAAATTGCTGAGAGGAAATTTGTGGGAAAACAGTGATGATAAATCAGAATTAAGGGAGGGAACAATTCAATTTGAGCTAAATGGCATTTCATTGCGTCACAGGGGGAATTTGATCAGCTGGGAAGCGAGCGGGAGGAAATGCGTTAAACAATGAGTCTGTTCTGTGGTAACTTAATTGCATGCCATTTCTGTACAGAATGAAAAGCACTAAATATCCTGCCTGTCACTGACCTAAATTCTTCTTCAATCGTACCACATAATTAAATAGAGTCTCTCCCGCTTTGCCGCCGAGTGTCAAGAAAGACATACTATTTCTGAATAAACTTGAAAAAATATCTGATGTGCGTAGATGATTCATACGTCATAAAATGAAGTCAAGACTAGTTCAAGATCCACTTTATGGATGCTTTAATTTTAAGGAAACAATCTTTACGACAAGTCACTACTTTTTAGACCAATTATATTTTTTAAAAAATAATAATAAAATTGGTTGCTGCGCAGCAATTGTTGGACTAGTTTTATTGTTGCAAACATCCGAGAAAAATTTAAAAATTTAGAAAAAACTAATTCAATTTTTTCAGAGATGAGTTCAAAAAAATCTGCAAGTAGTGATTGCTTCAGTTAGAAAATTTGGAGTAATTTAAGCAACTTGCTTCAACTAACAACTTTTACATATATGATATATCAACATTTTGAAAGTATGTAAACAGGAAAAAACAATAGGGCGTTAGAATTTTTCGTTGAGTTCCATAAGGTTCAAAATGCAAATGGTAAAACTACAATACTTGAAATAATTTGTGGCATCTGTTTTGCGTGGAGGCCATGCAGCCAAATAGTAAATTCCTCCGTATTTTTAATGGCCAGAAAACTTTACTTTTTAAGCAAATGACCTTAACCGAAATAATTATAGAAAATGTGTTCGGGCTGTTTTTCCTGCAATTATTTATAGGTCAAAAAGCTGATCGACTGAATAAAAAAACTCGATCAATCAATTTAATTGATCTCAAATATAACTGTCAAACACCACAACAATACAGGCGACTTTATGACTACGAGGTGCAATAAAACAACCAAAGACTGTGGAAGTGTTTTTTTGACTCTAAACTAGTTTAATAATGAAGTGACTTACAGCTCTCGATGTGCAGTCGACATTTCTGGATGTCCATTGGGAAATACTGAAGGTCCATTTTGCAGTGGCACTTGACTGTTACCCTGCAAAAAAAAAGAATTAAATTTTTCAAAAAAACTGCAAAGTTTTCCAATCGAAAACTACTGTGTGTCTGTAAAACTAAAAAACAATAATCTGGGCTGCATTGAAACGCAGTTTTAGGACATGGCAAAAAAACTTAATTTTTCGGATTCCGTTTTCATGCATTATATGGTTAAACTTAGCAAAAAAGAGGAAAATTCTGGCTAAGTAAGATGGTAGAATTGTATAACAAATAAATTTAAACGGCTCTTTTATTAAAGTTTTAGTTAAGACAGCGGTGATCAAGAATGTTCTCGAGAAATAAGGTACTAGTTATGCTAATAATCGCTTGCCTTTTGATGAAATATTATTTTCTCAATATTTTCTGCAATACAAGCGAATTTTTGATAAACCGACCAAAATAGGCGTTTTCAGGCATTTGGAAAATTTCAACCAAAAAATTGCAATTTTCATGCGCGCTCTCTCCTCCCAAATTTAGTGCATATTCGCGCCGGAAGCGCATTTAAACAAATTTTAGAGTTGATCGTTGATAATTCAATACCTTAATATAGTAACAAAAAGGGGACACTTTGGCTGGCCTTAGGGTTAAATAACTGGGTTGGGGCGAGCGCTCCCCTAAATCCTAATCACTCATCAAGTATTTCTGCTAAATAATCATATTTGATCTTTAGCAAACCGTAAATTATCACTATAAACTGCTATTTTAAAGCCCCCTGTAATACTCAATACAGGACCAACAGGAGGAGGGGGAGGGGGGAGCTGAAAAAGGCTTCAAAAATAGTTTTTTCATTTAAATTTGCAACAAAAGCCTAAAAATCCAAGAAAAATTATCTGTACCAATGAAAACTATAAAAAGAGCTTTCAGAATGATTGAAAAAAGCCGGATAGTAAAAAAAGACCTTTCAGTGGAAATAAGCCGACAAAAAATAAGCAGACCGACAATAACCTAAATAAGCAGAAAACTGGAACTTGGAAGAAAGCTAAACCTTTACAAAAGTCGGCAACGGGAACTAAGTCGTCAAAAATAAAAATAACAAAAGTACTAAAGAACAAAAAAAACAGGTCGCGGCCGGATTCGAACCACAAACCTTTGCCGCCGCAAGCAGTTGCCTTACCTTCTGGCCAGATGCACCGGATGGTTGATTGAATTTCAATTTATAATTACCATGCGGTAACAAAGCCGAAAATACCTCGACAGAAACCCTTCAAAAGGTAGAAGATCAAACTTAAAAAAATTAAGTCCTCTTTCCCTATAAACACACGCACACAAAATTTTTTCTGTCCTCAAACGCCACAAAAGGTGGTCACTAAGTCGATATACAAAACCGAAACCAATTAAGCGGAAAAAAGACTTAACAAATCGGGTTGGTAAAACTACAACCAATGTAGAAATCAAACTTCGATTCGGCCGGATTGTAAAATGCTAAAATACTACAAAGAAAATGGTTGCAACAAAAATAAACGATTCTTAGACGTGGCAACTAAGCAGACAAAACATAAGTAGACAAATTTTAGGCCGACAAATTTATTTACGTTAAAAAAAACAGGTCCAGGTCAGATTCGAAACAAGGACCTTTGCCGTCCCAGTCTTATTTGTTACCTCCAGGCTAAGTGTACAAGAAACGCTGAGAAACACAAATTCATTAGGAACCAAGGTACCAACAGCAATTCAGATGAATCAAGTTATTTATGGAAAAAAGTCTAGTACTCGATTGGAAAAAAATTAGTTCTTTTCGAAAGTCGGAGCAAATAGTCATATTTTGGTAGTGTACAAGAAACGCTGAGAAACACAAATTCATTAGGAACCAAGGTACCAACAGGAATCCAGACGAATCAAGTTATTTATGGGAAAAAAAGTCTAGTACACGATTGCAATAACCTTGCTTATCGCAAGTGTAAAGACAAGAATCAAGTACTAATTTTCAATTAAAATATCGCTTGGACAAAACATCTTATAGAGCATACAAAAAAGTTAGCTCTTTTCGAAAGTCGGAGCAAATAGTCATAATTTGGTGGTTTAAGTAAGTGGAAAACTAAAAAGATAAAAACTGATAAAAGAAACCCGCTCAGAAGATCATTGTTTACGACAACCGTTCAAATATGTCACCTTTCTTTTTATGAACTTTCTTACCGCATGTTGTATAGTATAGTTCCGTTGGGGTATACTTTGATATATGAGTTGGGTCTGGTATTGGTGTGGTTCCAGCTGGTCTTGCTGTTCGCAAAGAACGAGTCTGGCACCCAGATCCTCCTCGCGTATCCGGCGGTGAGCGTGATTGGCACGTAGGAGTTGTCGTACGCCACGTACTCCAATCTGGCATCCTGCCACTTTTGAAGGAACGAGAATTGCAGTTTGAAGCTCTGTAACAAACCAAAATGATTCAGTGATTGCCGTTTTTGTGTAACTTGTAACCCCCAGAAATTTTCTAAAAAGTGAATCGAATTCAGGCATCAATCCTTCTTTGCTATTCGGTTATCAATTGGCGGAAGTGTTGCGAAAAAAAAACAAATTAATGTTTTCAACCCGAAGTAAAATATTGAACATGGAGGCAGCGGAGCTAGTGTTTTCGATACGAAGATTTTATAAATTTCAATATTTTGACAAACTTTTATGACGATGAAAGATAGTTTCTGGGATTTTACGAAGTTGATAAAATGCTGGTTGATTCAACCAGTATTTTACATCTGCAAGAAAATACCGATACTGTAAGTGAGCAATTGAGTAAATGGCTGACCATGTCTGTGGCGTTGACGTCGAAGATATTGTCGATGATCATGCTCACATTCACCACGATCGGCTCTGAAACACATTTTCATGCATCAAAACTTTTTCTTAGTTATGAATAGTACTGGCAGGATTTCAGAAGCATTAACGAAGAGAGGAGCGCCTCCGCCCTGTAATCGACAGGTCGGTGGTTCGAGGCCTGGTAGCATCCCTGCTCCTTTCTGGCGCAAAAAGTCTTAATTAACTTCATACGGTTTTTAACAAAGGTCAATTGGTCTTAAAAGATTCATCTTGAATTAATTGAAGCGTAGTTCCCACAGTTAGCAGAGGGAAGTCGTCATTTTGAACAAAAAAGCCTTCAATTCATTCATCGCATAAGTATTACAAGTAATTGTCTCGGTACAAAATTGTTGCTCTAAATTGCTACACCATGAAAATGCAGAAAAGAGCTGTCAAATAAAATTCGTAAATTCAACGATGAATATGTTTGACTCGAAATTATGGAATAATTAAAACAAAGCCGCTATTTGTTGCTCTCAAACGTACCATGAATAGTTAATGAATTATAGGGACTAAATTGAGCAACCAAACAGTCTTCATTGTATTATTTCTGGAATTCAATAAACACCTTAGAGCTGGGCATGATTTGCTCGACGTGTTCTTCAACCATATTCAAACTTTTGTTTCGCTCTTTTGCTTTAAGTAAACCCCCGTAGTCTTTATGGATTTTTAATCGTGACTTGCCCCGCTGTACTCGGCTTTGAAATATAAAGTAAACACTTCAAACAAGTAAATCAATGAACGAATAAAAATTTTAGCCACAGAGGCGAAGCTGAGCTTCTCGCCACTTGTGATACAAAAATAAAGAACTATGGTTAAAATCAAACAGAAACAAAACGAAAAAAAAACTTTAAATTGCAACAAAAGCCCAAAACACCCTGAACAAAATTACCTGCACCTTTAGAAACTTAACGAAGAGCTTTTGGGTTGCTAGAAAAACAAACAGAATTTAAAAAAATGTTTCTGCGGAATTAAGTCGACAAAAATAAGCAGACAGACAATAATCTAAATTAGCCGATAATTTTCAGTTTGCAAAAAAAACAGGTCTCGACTGGAATCGAACTTCCGGGTTTTGTAATCTCAAGCAGGTGTGTTTTCTCTACGCCAGATACGCCGAATGATTCATTGAATTTGAGTTGATAATTACCTAGCGTTAACAAAGCCGAAAATACCTTAGCATAAACCTTTCATGCCAAAAAAAGTTCAAAAAAACTCCGCTGTCCCCTTAGATTACTCACACGCACACAAAATATTTTTTCCGTCCTTAAACGACGCAATAGGAGGACACTAAGTCAATGTAAAATCAGCCGAAACCTATGAAGCCAAAAACAAAGAAAAAAATAAATGTTAACAAATCGAATTGGTTAAATTACAACCAGCCAAAAAAGCAAAAATTGATTAGATCGGATACTTTAAATGCCAACATGCTCAAGATAAGTATGTTGTAAGTAGATGAATGAGTCCAAGAGATGAGACCTGAGAACAAAGTTATTTACGTGAAAAAGTCTAGAACCCGATTGCAATAACCTTGTTTATCGCAAGGGTAAAATACCCTTGCTTATCGTAAGGGTAAAAATGATTTCTTAAATTTAAGAACGGGTGAGTTGGATCCTGTTCTCCGAATTTCAACTACTAAACAGTCTTAAAAGTCGCCAAAGGATCTTTTGAGATACCAATTTTTGCGCAACCAACTTGAAACCTATATGCAGAGGCACTGGGCACAAACTAATTAACCAGGAGATGGCCCCTAAAAGTTTCAAGGTGAGAGTGAAAAACGAAAATGGAAAGATCATAATGGCCACTTTAACGAGTGAACTAACTTTTGTTGGGTGGCAGCCACCTCCAGTCCTTGACTGTCCTGTTGGACTTAGCTGACCCCGCTTCTGCCCCGCCAGCGTCGCCCCCCTCCTCAGCCACAATGGGCTCATCATTCTCCCAGCTGTTCAGGATCTCAGTGCGGTAGTCTATCACACACCTGCGAGAAAAGAACACAAGCTCAATAATTTAAACAGGTCTAGAAAAGTTAAAGGTTTAGTAAATTTAATTAGTAAAGATAAGATGGAAAGCAATAATTTCCACTACTTATGATCGAAAAAAATGGTTAACGCGAAAAACTACGCTGCAAACGCTCAAAAAATCGATTTGTTCAGCTCAGAACAATCATTGAAATAAACGTCTTTTTGCGTACATGATTGCGGGAGGGTCGGGACAGAAGCATTATTGCAAGAGAACCTTTAATTCGAAAAAATCGTGCACAGCGCCAGAATAAAAACACAGAAGAAAAAAATGAATTGTAAGCATGAAACAAACAATTCAACGATTGTAGAACTAATGAACACAGAGGCAAAGCTGAGCTTCGCATCACTTGCGATACACAAAAAGCGCAAAAAAAAAACAAAAAATAATAATACGTCTCAAACGAACAGTGAAAAACTTGGTGAAAGAATGTTGTTGAAGAAATCACAGGCTGAAAAATCAAAACAAATCTTTTGCAATTGTTACAGAAGTCAATGATGTGAAACAAAAGAAGGATTTAGGCATAACTCCATCCATTTTTTTTCTAATAACTAATAGATGGAAACGATAAAACATTTCGGTCAAAAAATTGAAATAAAAAATTTCCTAAATGTACTCAAAAACGGTTCACTAAATCTTGCAACCAAACAAACTACATATCCAACAGGAACAATTGAGGATCAACAAGGCCCTATCCGCTATTTGCTATAGTATAAGATAAAAAACAAACTCGAAAACAAAATTTCAAAAAAATTGAATGCAAAAATTACAAGCAATTGCCACAAAAAAAACTAGCAGAAAATCTGAAAAACTCTGAAAGCCTAAAAAAAACTCAATAAAATCAAAATTATCATATATGAAATTTATACGCAAGGATAAGATAGCTGGATCACAACAAACAAGATAACATTAGAGAACGCTCGTAAAAGAAATAAAAAACACGAAAAGCCCTTCTTTTTCAAAAATTTCAGCCAGACAAAAACAGAACTCCTGCAGCTCCTGCAAAGCTTGCTGCCGCATTCTTTTAGACACAACAGGCGAGTCAAATTTGCACAAAAAAATTGAAAGTCTTTCATTTTCAAAAATTTCAGCCATAAAAAACCAAAATCCAGCAGCTACTGCAAAACTTGCCGCCGCATTCTTTTTATACAAAACAGGAAAGTCAAATTTGCAAAAAAATCTGGAAAATTATCAATTTTTCTTTGAAGTTTTTTTGGACATACTGAAACAATACTTAAAATCATCAGCTTAAACTGATTTTAAATAAAATTGTTTGAACCTAAAACAACAAATTAGAATTAAAACAAGTTACAAAGAAGAAAAAAATCAGAAACCAGATATCCGAAAAAAACTGAAATCTTATAGCAAATAAAAAATTCGAACAGAAAGTTTTGAAAAAATTTCTGCCTAACAGAAAATTTTGGCACCTTTAATAACCAGAAAAGCATAATTTATATTTACTATCAAAATATGGAAAAAGAAGTAAAATACCTGTCAAAATTTTTAGAAATTAAATACCCGGCAAGTTAACGACAAAAATAGGGTCGAAATCAATAAAGCTGATAAAAAAATGTACCTAAAAATTTTTAGCTGTAAAACAAGTATCACTTCACTATTTCTAAACCTTCTGTTGAACTACAGTTGATAGACGAACATTTTAAAACTGCTTCTATAACAAGGCGTTCAATAATTTTTTCATGAAGTTGATTAATATCTCATATCAGTAAAAATTAAGTGAGAAAAAAAGAATTTAAATTAAAACAAGGATAGCCAATTCCGCAAGTAGCAATGAATGTTTGTTTCGACCACACCAATTGAAGTACATTAATTTAAAAATTTGAAAAATTCAAGAATCTCAAAAACAAAAATTTTGAGTTTTGTTTTCCGTTTTCTTCACAACACTCAAATTTTTTCCAATGAGCGGCGATTGATTTAGGTAAAAAACTGCAAGCAAAAGAGGCAGTAAAAGCTAAAATAATGTTAAGAGTGCAATAGAATTTAATTCAAAGCTTTTATTTAATTTTTATTTAAACTGAAACCGCTTTTTTGAATTTTCACAAAAACAAATCACAATTTAGGAGCCATCAATTTGATAATACACACGACTACGAACAACTTCATTGATGAAGTCAAAATTGGGTGTAAAAATCAGAGCTATTTGATAGTTCCTACCGGTAAGTTTCAGTGAAGCAGTCTGAACAAAAATTGATTGACATAGAGAAAAAATGTTATCGATATTTTTTCCGACTGAAAATTTTTAGCACAAAATCAAAATTGTTTGCCTAAAATAACCATTTTTGTTTGCCATTTTATACCAAAATAAGTTTCCGGAAAATAAGCATCTGGCTAATGAGGTCTTTTAACTGCTTTTCTAGTACAGCTAGGAAACTACATTTTGTCGTTTACGACAAGTTCGACACAATTTTTGACTAATGTTGACAATTGAAATCCCTAGGTATTCAGCTTTCCTAACTGATTTGGACAAACCTAAAAAAATACCAGTCGAACCCTAAAAGTAAGAAATTAAATGTCATGAAAATAATATAGCAATGAAAATCTTTAAAATTAGTGCTAAGGAATCCAACAAAAACTCAAAAATTGACAAGTTTACAAAATTTTGCGTTGAGTCAAAAAGTGTGAAAATAAAAAAAAAAATCCAGCAATTTAATTAGCAAAAAAATGACGAATCGATTTCATTTTCCGGAGATTTAATTAACAAAAAAAGGTACCGATCGGCTTTTTCATGCCACTGATTTCTTCAAAAAATTACCTTAGCAAAATGCAATTTCAACAACTTTGATATTAAAAAACATACGATAACATGACAGTTTGAGCAAATAAACATATTTGCACAATTTTTCGAGCTTCAAAATTCCAAATAATTTTTGAGACCATTTTACGCTGTAATTTTATGAGCTGGGCGTAAACCTGGGAAAGATCTCTATACATCAATCTACTATTTCTTATAAAAATTTACCAGGGCAAAAACTAATTTGAAAAAAAGTTCTAAGAAATCACAATAACAAGGTTTTCTAAAACAAATCTTGAGACTGGGATACAAATAGTAATGGAATGTTTCCTAAAATTTTGAATACACGGCAGCACTATCAATTTTTTTGAATTCGTTTTTAGAATACCAAGCCTTGATTTTAGTTTTGAAACAAATTAAAAGCTCAAAATTTAGGCTTAACTGTGAAGTAATTTATAAAAAAAATGTAAGTCAAAGGTTTGACGCATCTGGGTCCGATACAAAAAGTTAAAATATTCTAGTTCCACGCTTCATTCCACCTAAACTTTTTTAAGGATACTAAAAAATCCTGACGGCTCAATCTTATTGTTGACCTTTCAAAAGTTTGATCCGTTTCCACGTAAATTTGATGAATTAGCTTGCATTGAAAGACAATAACATTATAATATTACATTTGAAAGACTATAATAAAATTGAACGACAATTTTGCTTACTCTGAAAACCATTCAAACATGATAATTTTTCAAAGTATAGTTTTAATGGCACAATGCAACAATTTTTTAACAAAATCCTGATTTTGTTGAAATTTGAATGAGATCTTCTGACATTACAATACTTAAAAACTTGTGTAGAATACGTCTATTGAAAATTTACAAAAAGTTTGGCTATAAAAAGTTGGTATTGGACACCGAAGCGAAGCGGAGCTCCACGCCAATTGCGATAGAGCTAAGACGAAGCATTATATTAACGAGTGTAGAAAAAGAACCGGAAGTCAAAAAAATTGGAAGAAGTTGAAATTTTTTAAACGTTGCAACAACTACGTTTGCCTCAATTAAGGTTCATGAACAGCGTTAATTCGGCTACAATTATCAGGTACTACACGGCACTCAAGCAGACAAAAAAGTCGACCCCCGTTAAGCCCAGAGCAAAATTCTTGTCATATATAATTTTGAGCTAAAATTTGAAACTCACCCCTGTTGAAACGCCACAAACGTAAAAAAAATCGTCTGTCTTCGGAACAACGCAAAAAGTATTGACTTAAGCAACTTAACATAGGCTAGAGCCATTAAATTACAGTTGACGAGAAAATAAAAAGAGTAAGAAAGTTCTTCCAAATCAGTACAAATTACAGAAAAACTATCAATTACAGAAAAAAAATTAATTAAGACGAAAGACAACTCTATGACTTGGGAAGTAGGTCAATGAAAAACCGTACCAGATATTATAGTTTGTATTTAAAAAAATGAAAATTAAGCTGACGAAAACTAGGGCAAAAACCACGAATCCCAACAAAGTATTTTTTAAAAAACTTTATATGAAAAAACCTCGATAGTTTTATAGACTTTTCAAAAAATTGAGCCTGTCAATTTAAAAGAAGGTAATTTCTGTCAGCCAGCTCAATAAGGAAGTTATTAACATAAAAGCCTAATTCCTGCTTACAAGACACTTGCTGTCGCAATACAAAGTTCAAAATTAGTGATTTTTTGTCAGAACTTGAGTGTTTGGCCAAGTTTAAAACGTCAGTACCCTAATGTTTTTGGTTGAAACCATTGTTAAGAATTTTAACCTTTACAATTGTTTTGAATAAAAAATAAAAGTATTTGGCTATTCAGACTAAAGTTACAGCCAAAATAGTCTCGCAACCATGAACTTGTGATTTTTTGTTTCCTAACCTATAAAAAGAATGATTTGTTTTTCATTTTCTGCCTACTTCTGCGGCAAAATTTAAACAAGAGATTGAAATTCTGACATGGCGTAGATATCTATAACTGAAAAAAAAATCGAGACTTTGTTAGCATTTAATCAAAACTACTTATCTAATTTCAGACAATTTTCAAGGCCACTTGATATATCAGACAAATTGATTACAGTGCTGATTTACATCAACCGGACAAAACGAACAACTTAGGAAACGGAAATTTCAAACGAAATTTTTTTTAAAATATGTTGAGATTAGATAATAAAATGATGAGAACAAGAGTTGCTTAGAA